CTTTAAAAGCACACACAACCCACAATTCCTCTATTCGCTCCGACGAAGGGCTAACGCTCGAAACTTCAGCTTTTATAATCGTAACGGTGGCCAATTTACCATTTCAACTTTGTTGATATATTCAAATTATTCCTCTACTCTCAGTTGGCTTGCCACGGTCAACAGGCACCTTCTCAAACGGTTCATCATCATCACAGAACGTAGGTATGCACCCACCCGTATTGGTCCAAAATCTCTTAAACTCGCGTGCCGAAACCACATAACTATCCTCATTGCAGCTAGCAGCAATCATCCAGAACTTCCTTCCCTTTCATTAAACACGAGTTTTGCAGATTAAACATCGACATCACAGCCCTCAGGCGAGAGTACCACCCTCTTCACATTGCTATTAGAAAGACTGGACTGCAAACAGTGCAGTAGTTTACCTACCTGAGGTGCACCATTTCATGAAAGGTCGAGAGTGACAGGGATGTTAACAACAGACTGGCAAAGGTAAACTTTGTCTTGAGCAGACTGTAAAAACGTGTGAGTAACAAAAAAAATCGGTACCAAGATCAACATGAGCAAAGCCTTTGTCTTCACCACCCTCCTGTACGGCTCGCAGTCGTGCCTTATCTACCATCACCATCAACGGCTCAAATAGTGCTTTTAAGGAGGCTGGATATATTTTTTGGCGCGCGCAGACTGGGTTCTGATTGACCCGGGAATTTTAAAAAGTTGAAAAAAAAAAAACAAACAAACAAACAAACAAACATGGCCGCCATGCTTAGGCCAAAATTATTTTTTCATCGCCTGGTAGACTATGTTTTACACCTATAGGTAGGCTGCCTACCAGTTTTTGAGAAAATTCAAGTCAAGTCTAATTTTGGACCCAGCATTGCAACCCAGCAATGTTGCCATGGCAACGAACTTTTCAATATATTTATAACAAACTGATTCTTCAATAATATCTTTATTTCAGGGGAAAATGTGATCGCGATTCGTTAGAGCTAAGCTTCGTAAGTTTAGTTTAAATATCTTGCATCAGAAAAGTGAAAAACTATATCCAGCCTCCTTAAAAGTGCCGTCTTCTTACCATCCTTAACTTCCACTGGAGTGACTTCATTACCAACGTCGAAGTCTCAGAACAGGCAGAGATAAATAACATCGAGACTTAGCTGCTACAATCAGATAGGCTAACTAGGGCACGTCTATGTAAGGTGAACTATCTACTGGCCATTGAGGCCCTGTAAAGTGAACTAGTTACTGGCCATTGAGGACAGCCATGCAACATCACAACATCAACTATGCATTCTCCTCTTTTGACGTCTCTTGCGGAATAGAGACGCTGCGACCTCAACCTTTCACCTGACCTTTGTCTGTAGTCAATGCAGCTGGACCTGCTTAACCCGTATCGGCCTTGAAAGCCAGGAGTGCCTGCAGTCGACGTGTACTGCCTTCATATTGGTATATTTATACTGGTTCGTGCTATACACTTTTCATGTGGAGTATAATCACCATTCTTAAGATTTGAAAACTTTAAGCCCACAATCGAATACTTTTGTACCTTCTTCACCCTGTTTACAAGTTAATGGTTAAACTTCTTTAAATAACCGGATCTTTGAAGAAGACAAAAAAAATTAGTTTTAACATTGCAAGTCTACATAAGAATTTTTAAGATATGAGAGACGTGAAATGAAATTGAAAGCTGACCATTTCCGTATACGGTTTGACAATTTTCTTCATCGAGGATGAGAAGATCGTCGAATGCTATATCACCCTGAACACCACTTCCACGGACACCCTCTATCGCAATCTAAAGGAAAGATGATTTTGACAGCATGAAAAAACAAACATTAGAGCAAGTAGAAAATCTGAGACCTCCAGTAGTAGAGTTTGCTAGCATTTTTCAGGATTTGAATAACTAAAATTCGTCACTAATCGTTATCGATTGTTATTCCCAGCGTCACCATCGCCGAAAATATAGCTAGCTAATTGATGCAAGTGTGCTTTTCAAAGAAGCGCTCAATTTCAGTCTCAATTTCAAAGTAGACTATCCATGTCTAATAATTACAACAAATCACGAAAGCTCCCTTTGAAAAATAAAAAATAATGGCACAACTCAGACCTTATGACCGGTAGAAACGTCTTTGTATCCAACTTGACCAAAGAGCCAATCAGGACCTTGCTGGCCAGTTTGACTCCACACTATCATCCTTGAATCATTCTTTAGAATCAATACATTTAAGCTGCCGACATCTTTTCCTTTCATGTGATACCAAAACTGCACACATGATGCTATGCCAGAGGCAACAACATTACTAGTTAGGACAGCAGTGTCACCAGGATCATAGTCTGATGCCTCCAGATATATGTACTTTCCTATGAAGAAAAGGGGAATTCAAATAAAACGTAAGGTAACTGGCGAAAAGATCACAATGTAATGTCGTCCCAGTAGTACCCACCTAAAGGTCGATATCTGCTATGGTCAAAGTCCGGTCCAGTATTCTCTGTGGGCGTTGAACCTGAGCCAAAACTCCATCGAACTTCAGAGTCTTCTGTCAATCCACAGAAGCCATCCTGGAAGTCGCACTTAGCTATAATCATAAAATAGTACCAAAAACTGCAATAAAGATTACATGGTAGTTGTCTCAACGGTGCAATGTTTAGAAAAATTGGTTTCTGTTCTCCTACGAGTGGGAGAGGAATTTAAAATAGAGCAGCAAGTCGCTGTGAGATTGATATGTAAGGATTACAGCGATGTCAAGATAAGCAGAGTTAGAATTGAATGGAATGTAGATTTTTTTGCCTCGACCCTTACTTAACCCGAGATATCAGAGCATTCATTTCGTCCATGTATATAGCTAAGTGTCATTTTTGCACAACTCGTGTAAGAGTTTTTTGTTTGTTTGTTTATTTCGGTGATACCCTGGCGTTGTTGGTTAAGTTTAAACTCGTCACACTTTCCCCACCAGGGGTGCATGATTTTTATGTATGAGCACGCGTAGAAAAGACTTGAAACTTTTGTACTTGAAAAAGTGTCTTAAAAGGAACCCCTCGATCAGGCACGTAAGAAAAATAAATTGTGCAACGTATTTGGTTGTAACCTTTCCTGAGGTAAAAATTCCGGCATCATACCTCTGTTCCTACTACAAGAATGCGTAGACGCATGGTGCTTCTCTTTAAGTTTTGCACAGCCTAAATCCAGAAGTGAGCAGTTTGAATATCCTGTAATGTTAAAACGAATGAGAGAACGTAGTTAATATTTCACTTGCCATAAATTAGGTCATCAACAAAGTATCGGTAACTATTATGTTCCAAGGAAATCCCAGTGATCATCAAACAGCTGCACGACACCATAGGTGACGTCTGTTCTATAGCCAAGTAGCCCTTCCAACTGGAGCTTATCACAGTTTCCTTAGCATGAAAGGATGGATGGGATAAAAGCCCATTGCAATTTATCCCTTACTATTTCATCAGGCCTCCCTGGATATTCACTGGCCATTTTCATTTATACTCCTGGATGAAGGGAGGCAAAGTGAAAGTAAAACGTTTTGATTAAGAACAAACCAAGTCCATCCAGGTCTTAAAACCAGTATTGACCTGCAGAACCGCTCTCGACGCAGAGTCCAGCGGACAAACCATTTGGCTAACACGTCTATCACACGCGCGGTATCTTAAGATAGGCACAAAGGACAAAACTCAAAGTTCTTATCATTAACAATTATTCCACAAGTGCGTTGGATATGAGATGATAGATAGCCAAAGAGGCGCGTAGCGCCTCGTTGGCTATAATCATCTCATATCCTACAAGCGCGAGTGGAATGATTTTTTTTATTAAAAAAACGCCCCCAAAATATTAGACAAATCTTCTTGACTTTATTTTGTGAGAAAAAACCGGATGTTACAATGTACAGGTATTAGATTATGGTATATTGGCTCATATACCATAATGGCTAAGCCAATAAAAAGTCTTGAATTGAATTATCCAATGATCCAGTTTTTAATAATGAACAATTATTCCACGAGCGCGCGTTGGATATGAGATGATAGATAGCCAACGAGGCGCTACGCGCCTCGTTTGCTATAATCATCTCATTCCAAAAAGCGCGAGTGGAATAATTGTTTTATTTAAAACACCCCTAAGAAATTATTATTTTGTTAGAAGAAACCGGATTTTTTAGCTCCCTTTAGATTTTAAGCTGACGCGTACGCTTACCATATTTGTAGATTATGGTATATTGGCTCATATACCATAATGGCTAAGCCAATAAAAAGTGTTGAATTGCATTATCCAATGATCCAGTTTTTAATAAAAAACATTATCCACTGGTCTTAAATTAAACTTCATTCTGAACTTAAAGAAAACAACTCACCACATAAGGATGGCTCGTCTGTACCGTCTTCACAGTTTTTTTCGATATCACATGTCAAAGACCATGGAAGGCATTCACCACTGGCGCAGGAGAAACTATTTTGGGGACAGCCAATTCCTTTTGCAAAACAAACTTTTATCAACAAATACAAAACAACAGTAACAAAGATATCACAAACAAATATCAATACTTAGTGCTTTTCCCATCTTTCCCTTGCTTAGAATGCTGAGTTTGTAAGAAAACTTCCTTCATTGTTTATTTATTGAGGAAAGTTAATTTGAGATAACTCAAGATAAAATTAACTGCCAAATAAATCTGCAGGCAAAGCCAAAACTTTTTCTCGAATACAGCTGACAAACTTATTTCAATTCACAGAAAACAGGAAGGAAAGCACCTCTTACTGCACAGAGAAATAGAGACAAGGTGATGTATACCGAGTCATGACCGCTCATAGTTTATCGCAAAAGCCAAAACACATTAGAACGTGGATCAGGCACGAAGAACGATATAACCTTAAAACACACTCATTCACTCCAATTCACACAAACTTTTTCATTCAAGCAGCCTTTGCCTACCACATCTGGATTCGTCAGAGTTGTCCTCGCAGTCCTTCCTGGAGTTACATAATTCATTTTCGTAAAGACATTTTCCGGTTGGACAAGTAAACTGATTAGTACGGCATTTGCAATTCTTTTCATCAGAGTTGTCTAGGCATGCAGAGTCGCCATCGCAAACCAAGTCTTTGTAAATACATTTTCCGTTGTCACACTGAAAGTTATCAGCTTCGCAAGTGAATTCTGTTAGGGAGCAAAATAAAAACAGGGAACAATCGTTTACCTCAAACAATTCCTATTTCCCTCATTAACAGCATCAATTCATTTTGAGAAAAACACTTTTCTCTGATAAATGATTAAAACTTTAAGTTTTAATTTGAAGGTGAGTCAGCTTTTCGACGAAATGAAACGTTTGGGGGTTGACATGAGCTGAGTTGACTTGAAGTGATTAAAATGTTAGCAAATAACTAATTCTCCGTACCTGGTAAACTATGAGGCGGAGCTAGCTTACAAGTTCTGGTAGATATTGCTATATTATCAACAGCAGTTCTTTGAAAACTTGGCGAACGTTTCCCTTTAGCAATTATCGCCACCTGCAGTTCAGAAAATGATTCATGAAGAAATGTTACGCAAACCTAGATAGAAATATACCATTTGTTACTGCTGTAGTTGTTCAATGGCAACTGGGTGCCTATTTGCGTGTACGCTGACGCTCATCATGGTAAAATCTAGAAACAATAAGGGTTACAGTTTTCACACATGATGGCATGAAAATCACTTGTAAAGCTTGACATGTTGGAAAAGCATTTAAAGAGCAACTTTGAAGCATGTGGAAATACCATTAAAAAAGTATTGTCCGGGTAAATCATGAGGTGTCTAAGTGAAGAAATTGCTTTTGTGCACGCGATGTAGATCCGGTTCGGTTACGTGAAACCCCGACGAAATTTGAATTTGTACATGCACAGAGCACATGAGCAATGAATTCAAACCTTAATTTTTTGATATTCTTTATTTTAGCTTTGCATCATATGTCACAATTGTCTCTGTGTTCCTACAGTATTTGCTGTCAACTGTCTAATAAGTAGTCATGTAAATCAATAAGTAGAGAATGACGAGCCAACCTCTTTCTTAAAATAAATGATTCTCTTGATTGTAAAAAGGGTTGAGAGATGAAAGTGTACTAGTTTATGGTGAATTTAAATGCACGAGTAACTTGGTGAGCTTAAAAAGTGCAATACCTTAAAATTATCGTTAGCTATTAATGACACTTTTCCAATGAGCCAAGTATCACCCTGGTAACCAGTGAGACTCCAAATTGACACATTTGACTTCGTCATTAGGATTACACTAAGCGATCCAAAACTGGTTGCAAGACGGTAAGAGAAGGTTAAGCATAACCCGAGCTTCTGGCTAATGGAATTAGTGACAATCCAAGGACTCTCGAGAACAGCAGGACTGTTTCCCACGTGAACAAGGATCCCTGTTAATATCGAGAGAAGAATTCATCCATTGAAAGACGATTGCTTTTTACAGTGCCCAATAAAGATTAAAAAGAAAGTTAATTCAAAACCCAATGATATAAATCAAATATCCAGTGTCTATAGAGATTCTAACAAAATTCCGACAGAAAGATGGCTCTGCAAGCTACACTTTATTGCGTTTTGTACCTGCCTCAATTGCAGGTTTCCATCCTTGATCATTATTTGTCCAAGAACACAAGCCGGAAGTGAATCTGCAACCTTCGATTTCCAAAGCTATCCAATGGAAGAAACAAAAATACTGCGCTTTAACGATGTGATATCGTGAATAACGAAATGATGCTCCCCGAATAAGAGAAAAATATCAAAAATAAAAGATGACGATCTCGATAATAATTACTGTTATCTTCATTTCCATCATTGCTATTATCATTGCTATTTTCATTATTTTTATGTCAACTGTCTAAATTCTCGCGCGCTCATCGGACACGAACTGTTGTCAATAAGGTTAGATGTAACGCAATGCTCGGAAATCCATGCCAGTCGGAGAAAAAATTTATCTCATAAATAAAAATTGCAAACTTTTGAGATATGGCCGGTAGCAAGCTTCCGAATTTTAAGAACGGTATACTTGGAGAAATTTTTGAGAAGAACTTGTCGCGATGGAAGAAAAAGCAGAGGAAAGTTTTCAGAAAAAGAATCCGGTTCGCAAAGTTCACAGACGGAATACCTCGTAGAAGCACTTTCCGATGCCGAAGCAAACGGCACAAAAATTTAATTAATACTCCGAGGGTAATAATGAACGGTTTAGTGTAACAGAGTCTATTACCAACCATTTCTTACTGGTAGTTTATTGCCCTGGTAATTCATTGGATAACGCTGATAAAAACATAACAACAATCGATCATGTCAACGCGAGTATTTTTTCAAAAAAATTTGGCGCATTCATCTTGCAGAAAACTTTGCGGTGGGTTTCACTGTAAAGTTTTGAACATTTTTGACGTCACTTCTATGATCTATAAGGTTATGGACAATGGAAAATTGTTATCAATTTGTTAAATAGTAACTACATCAAAAATAGCATCCACAATGGAAACAATGTCCCCTGTAAGAACAATAAACACTCGCACATAAATTAAGAGAGATCAGCGTGGAGAGGCGGAATCATGGCAAAAGACAGAAAAAACGAAAAAGAGGGAAAAATCAGCGTTGAGTAAAATACAAGGAAAACTTCCTGTTATAATTTAAAAGGAAAATTTGGTGTTACCTTTAATTTGTAACTCGCCGATTTTCCTTTTAATTTCAGTCAAATTTAGCAAATCGTCTACCAATTTATACGAAACCTAAGGGAAAGAGACGTGAACAGCTAAGTAATTACGAATAAGAGGTCAACGATTTCTAGACGCGTTTTAAGGTTTTACTCTCCTACAACGTAAGGTATTCCTCTACGCTTTAGAGAAAACCTCTGAATGTCATGGCATACTCTAGGGAAAATTCCACCAAAGCACTTTGTAAGGAAGGAAAGTAGGTGTGCTCAGCTAACTGTTTGACCAACAAGAGATATCAAAAGCAACTGTATGCACTGTCTACCTGGATGTTACCTGCATCTTCGTGACACCGTTAGAAAAAAAAAAAAAAGACAATAGAGCTTAAGAATAACTTAAAAGTAAATATACCACAAAATTTGCCATCAACTGAACCATGATTTCCAACAAACGTTCTAGGTTTAAATAAAAAAAAAATGAAACAATTTTCAATTTCGTATAATATACGACGATCATCATCAAAACAATAGTAAAGGAAGTCATCCTGCAGTCTTTAAATTGTAATTTACGTCCTCGCTGAAGGAAGCTGTTTCCTAGGTTATAAATAAAAAAATTAATAAAAAAATTGCTAATATAATAATTAAATTTGATGTTCCAAACATGATTGAATTTGCGAATTAGGTTTTCTCTCGTTTTCGCCTCTTTCCTGTTCAGTCTGAGTTTCATCACGAGCCAGGTGCACTGCCTCCTTCCTGGGTTTTTTTACCACGTTACCAAACGAAATAATATCAGCCGGTTTGGCTTTCAAGTTTGCAAATCTACCCTGAATATCTACTGCAAGGATCCTCTTAGCTAGGCGATTTTCCCTCATGTTTCCAAACAACAAACATGCATGGTAATTATAAATGAGATCATTCCCGATCCCGACTTACGCTCAAAGCGTAGGTTCCTTCTTGAAGCAACGTCTCGATTGTAGTATTGAAATAATTTTCTTGACAATCCACTTTCAAGTTGCTGTGAACCAAACTTGTTTTTCCAGCAAATTTAAAATAAAGCTGAATCGGACATGTGGGGCAATGTGATCCGCGACAACAGTGTTTGTAGGAAGCTTTAGAAAGGGTGAGAGTACAAGTCAGTTATCACTGTCACGGTAATAGCTACGTATACTTTCATAGTAACTGACATATCGCTATAAGCTTCACCGTAGGATGATAAAATTGAATTCAATGGATTTTAACATATTTGACACAAGTATAAGTAAAACATGGCTTTCTCTAGACTGGTAAAATTTCCGCTTTACTTTAGTCTTAACAGATTGTATATTCACTGCACTGTTGATGAAGAAATCTGTAAAATGGGTTTCCGAGTAACTTGCCGGATTCAAAACATTTAGAGCCAACTTCCACTCGAAGACAGAAGACATGACAAGCGATATGTCTTCTTCAGTATTGTATTCAATTATCCCTGCCAGGATAGAAGGTAACAGCTGGAACTTATCGATTTCTTCAAAGATGCTCAGTCCACCTGCACCCTTAATTTTTTCGTGGGATGGGAGTTTGACTTATATAGAATTACCTTGGATGGAAAACTTTTGACCAGTCCTAATAACTTTTGGGAGGGAATTCGTCTTAAAGTCTACAGAAGTCACTCCTAAAATAAAATAAGCGAAGCTATACTCAGCAATGACAAAACAAGTAAGAAATTAAGTTAAATTAATATTTCCCTCAATTAGCTTCATCTGTTTCTTCTCAACGCTATAACGATGCTACATGCGCCATATTTCTTGAAAATTGCTAAAATCAACACTCAAACTTAAACATTTGAACTAAAACACTTGAACTGAGCACAATTTTCACTTTAGGAAGTTGTGATTGCTCTTTACCATCCAGTAGAATAGTGATTAGTATTTCCAATTTACCTGGCCGAACCCAGAACAAGCGTCTTTTTGGAATGGGGCGCTCGAAAGTGCCGTTTGGTAACTTCATTCCCACTGACAAACAATCCATCCCACCTCCTTGTGTCATGAGTGTTTCGATAAAGTAGAATTGGCATTTACTCAACCAAATTTCTTTAGAGGTCTACCATGAAGGGTACCTGAAAGCAGAAAAAAAGAAAAAGAAAAAATATACCCAACGCGTACATGTCTCTACTGTTAAGGTCACATGCTGTGGGAACTCTGTTTCTTAGGTGTCCCTGTCTGAGAAAGTGTTCCAAGGGCCACAAGGGGTGGTCAACTGAATCGGCTGAAACTTAGCACAAAAGTTGAGTGTGATAAGATATCTCAAAAGCCACTTTGGCTCACTTCTCTGACTGTTCGTTCTTGAGTTTCAGGGGGGATCCCATTTGTGGCCCCTGTTGAGCACCAAAAATTCATCCTTTTAGTTGGCATTTTGAAAGTGCTATAAAACTCCATTGGTAAACGGTGCTGCCAAACGAATTTTACCATGGACTCTACTATAGTGGAGCTTTTACCTCCTAAATATAACTTTGTTCCCAAGTGATTAGACAGAGAGGGGTCTGGGGCAAAAGTTAGGTCAAATTTGAGGTCAAAATCATTACCCAAATTGCCACTTTTCATTAAACCATAACGCTCACCTGCCTTCTTGCATAACTTTCATACCAAATCCAGTATGTACATTAGTGACCCATTTATCAAAATCAGTTGAGAAAAATTTGGCTTATTGAGCTTATTTGGCTTATTGGCTTATTAGGTTTTTAGCACAAACTCTCCATGCCCCTCTAAGGCCAAACAAATTTGAGTTTTAAGCATAATTCATCCTATAAACAGACCAAATTCTTGACATAAGGCCTTTATTTTCTATTAGGTGAGTGAAAATGAAACATCAAAGCCATAACAGTGTCATTATCTAGAAATACCTCGACTCATAGCTTACAAATGCACCAAGAAGGCCTCTGATTAGCACTACAAACACCTAGCGGGTTAGCAAAATAAAGTAAGGTAATAAATAAAAACCTTGTACCCATCATAGGGCACAAATGATGATGTTCTGACCTAGAAATGACAATATTTTTTAAAGATGCTTGAATTTTCTCTGATCTATGTTTGTTAGGCCATATTTCCATTCGTATAATACTCCAAGCATGCAAAGGTCTCTATATTTTGTCAGGCCGTTTTTTACTTGAAAATAAAGTGACCTTAACCCGGCCTTAACCATTAAGCTAAGAATAAAACGATCGTTAAAAGATGATTCACGTCTGACCTTTGAATAGCCTAAATATTTCTCGCAAATACCCATCACTAAGCGAGCATGACCATCCATACATAAGCTTACGTGCAGCAGTGAGCATCGTCCAGGTGACTTGTGATCCACTTAAGTACTTTAGAACTGAATAAATGGAACTATCCAAAAAAGAGGGAATCCACAGTCAGAAGAGCTGGATGACAAAAAAATTATTGTTGCTGTTTATATAAAATATTCCATACGAGACATGAGATGATGCCAATAGGGCCCGCCATTTTGGACGTGAGAGTATTAGGATGGGACCGAGTATCCATCCCTCCCCTATTCGAGGGTAAATGTTTGTCTCCTTATCAGTTACTGAAAGTGTAGCGATAAGAAGTTTCAGGAGAATTTTACGATGGCGCTTTGTTCCTTTGGAGGTGTAAATGATCAGTGCGGTGCCTTGTCATGGGCTCTGCATGAAACAAGAATGACTTCTTTGTTGTCTCACGTTAATGACATGAAAGCTTGGTTTAAAACACAAGTACAAGGGGTCAGGTGCGTCCGGGCGAGAGGAAGACCAGATGATACCAAAGCTACAACTACAGGAAATTCAAAATATAAGAAAGAGTTCATACACGTGCATTAATGTAGCAGATGGCTTTTCAAGTGCCACTCCCGCTAAGAGCGGTCCACTCAACTTCCCGTCCAAAAAAAATTTTCCTTAATTTGCTTTCCTATGAAGAGGGTTTAGTACACATGTTTCAGAAATAGTTTGGTTGTTTTCCAATTCTCTTTTGCATGAAGATTTCAACTTTCGCGAACTCTCTACCAAGGGAAGATTAGCCAAGGCGTTGCAAAAGCAAAAACTCAGTCAACCACCGTCACTGTGCCAGTTTTTTTCGACGTTGAGATTACAGTTAGTGCTAATCTTAAGCCTTCGTATTATGAACCACTTCTACAGTTCGCAAATTCCTGTGATTACTGCAAGTGATGGCCGACAAACCCGCGTTACTTATACTCAGTAAAGGTTGCGTGACTCCTCGACTTGGTCCAATCCTCTCACTCTCACGTCCAATATGGTGGGCTAGTCGATATTATAACAATCGGATCTCGAGGTGTTGCGTGGCATGTTTCACATAAATTGCAACACAAAATATTCGTAATCCAGCTCTTTTAACTTTTGATTTCTCATTTACTGTCGGATGATTTGATTTACTAAGCTCTATTATAACATAGCGCGCGCGCTGGTCCTATCTAATTCCTATTGCGTCAACATGAACAAAATCTTTATGTACGCACGGCCGTGCTTAATAATATGACGTGTGCAGTTTCAAAATAGCTGCAAAATTTCTGTCGTGTGAGTTCCTTAAGTTAAAGTTTCGGAAAGCGATAATAGTAAATCGAAGGCCAACCAAACTTTTCTTTGGCTTTCGACCTTCCCGCAAGTAATCAAGCCAACAAGCACTATACGAAAGCGAAACACAACTGGCCCGTTT